ATGAATTTATTCACGCCCGTGATTCTGTCCTTGGGGGCCTCTATTTCTGGGTTTGCCAGTGCGAAAGTTGGCGAGGCAGTGCGGAATTATCTGAATGTAACGAAAAGACTAACAAACTAATATTATTCTTCTGTGTCGCCATACGCATACCTTCTCCTTTTTTTTTCTTTTTTTAAAGCTAGATTTTGATCTAGGTAATTATTTATTACTGATACAAAAACAGATGATATATCATCAAAAATTCATTCAGAAATTCGTAACGTTTTCAATTTGTAAGTTTCTTTACTCTAAAATAGAATAATAATTTATAAGACCACTCAATTATTGGCCGGCCGATCCCCCACAGTGGGTTCGAGCCACAAGTGAAGTGCAACAAGAACAAGACTCTTAACAATCGCCGCCAGTTGAAACCACCCCGGCGCACACCTCTACATGGCCTCTGTTACGTTTGGCCCGGCAGTTCATCTTAGCAGACGCCATTGTGCGTGAGCCGGTCTGCGAGAAGGCTTTCTCCCAGGTATCGGCACCCGGACGGAAGCGAAAATAGAGGGTGAAGATAACAACTGGTTGGCAGCCGTGAGATTGACCTCGCGTGATGGTGCTGTGTTGCGGTGAGTACTTGGTCTTTGCTTTGACTTTCCAGGCTTCATTTTGCAAGTAGAAGTTGATTAGAAGCCGGACTGTGTGCGAGTTAAGGAGATCGCCTATTTTTGAGTACTGAGTTAGAGGGATCTCCTACATTTGTGTGAGATGCAGGACCAAAGTAAACCATCAATAATGGAGGGGAAGTCACTACTGAAAAATGAACTTTTGTATATTTCTGAAAACCTAGAAGTCGAGGAGGGTATAGGCAGAACACTGATCGTGAGGCTGATTTCGCAAAAAAAAAGCCAGTGAGGAGTGAATTGAATCCGCGTCAAATGTTTTGAGAAGGTACAAGAACAAGAAAGAGAAGAAAAGGAAAGAATCTTGGAACAAGAGGAAGCGATTGAACTACTGGAACGTAAAGTTGAAGCAATGCGGCGGAAGATTCAGCCATCCGCAAATGTAGCGCACAAGAAGTGCGACAAACTATTGAGTGTAGTGACCTTTACAGCCGTATACGGCTGCTGCTGTCTTCACATGTGCTAGCCTTCTCTATTAAAGATCACTCCCCCGCCCCCCTACTATAACGTCGGTACTTTGCGCTAGCCATACAGAATCATTAATTGGAACTCACCTGTGAGAGAGAAGGCTAGCACATGTGAAGACAGCAGCAGTTTCACTGGTGAACCAAATGTGAGAGCTGCGAAAGAAGCTGCTATAACGAGAGAGGCCGCCGAAGGCCAAATCGAGTGCGACGAGGTGGTGTGCCAGTTGAATGCTAGCGAAACAGCTAGCAGTGGACAGGCTGGTAGAGACCTCAACTGAGGTTGTCGCGACGGTGGTTCTTGCAAAAAAATGTGGAAGTAGACAAGGACGCCGGAGAGAGCTCAGAAGCAGCGAAATCTCAGATGAATCTCTGTTGTACTTAAAGCTGAATCTATGCTGAACCTTTGTACATAGCCGATTCTCTGCTAAATCACTGTACAGTTCCATCTTTCAACTATCATGTAAATAAACCTTCGTTCCCTCTCTACGAACGTGTCCCCTCACTGGCGAAGATCGGGTATGCGGACGACGGCGGGGAGCCAGCTACTCTAAAGACAACCCACCGTACCTGCCATCGACCTCGAGCCCTTAACAATTTGGCAGCGGTGGGATGCCATCAAACTCCCGGCCCTTTACACCTCGAGATGGCTGGCGCGCGGTGTGTTCCTCTCTGGCCGCCCCAATCGCCGCGCTCCCCAGCAAAATGAACGAGTATCACCTCGCGCGCCCGGCTACCACGAAAGGGCGTGGATTCCGGCAGCGGCGGAGACCGCGGCCGACAACACGGGATTCCAGTGTGCGCATGTTTTTGTTTTTTTTTTCGCGTACCAGCAAGAATCACTGCTAGAATCTTGTGGCTGAACTGAAAGAAAGTATTTTATTGCGATAGTAATTATATGGACACTCTCGGCTGGATTTTGCCGCCGGCGTCGATGTCATGCACCGTATATGTATATACGTATCTATATATGTGAAAACGCATGAAAGAAAAAAAAATCCAGAAAAAAAAAGCACTTCAACGCGCGGAATCAAACGTGGGACTGAGCCACCCCGAAGAACGTTTTTCACCGTTCAAAGGGCAAACTATTCATATCTACCACTTACCACTACTGTTTTCGGCATTACCAAAAAGATGGCGCAATGAGCGCACGTCGCCACATCGCGCAGCGGCACACGCTTTAATATCCTACGCGCGCTCCTATCTCGCGGTGGCGAGGAGGGAAGAATCGTACGCCTTGGCTGGCCTCGGGCTTTACGTAGAGATTCTGCAGAAGTTACCGGGCGCGCAAAGGTCACTGCAATCATTGCAGTCTCCGTTCGTGAAAAGCGCGCGCTTTTCAGACTCGGCGAAGTAACAAATGAGACACTTATTCGTGTGCATCCGTACCTGTGAGCACGTTTCGTGCGTGATTTGTGCGCGAGAAACGCGGCGCACGTTTCGATCTGCTTTCCATTCTGCGCGTGACCTTTCAAATTTGTTGCTATAGCGTTCATTGCTTCGCCTTTGCATCAAGGCTGTAACTTTTTTTTAATGCACAGTATTTTAATGTCACACCTACCCGCAAATACGGCCTCGGCGGTGGCAACCCCACTGCGCATGCTCGGAACTCGTGCCCCCCCCCCCCCCCCCCCCTCTTTCGCCTCTCGTACACCTTAGCCCGACATACCCAAATGAGCACGAAGTTATATGAAGCGCAAAACCATGTTTCTTCTCGCCACATGAGCGCTTCGCCAACAGCGCGGCAGCCTTTTTTATTCGACCTAAAGCGCCTTGATCAAGGGGCTTTATTCGACCATATGAAGGAGCGCCGCGGTGCGGAAAAAAAAAAGAGGGTCACGCCCACCTCTGGAAACGCTCTCCGTGCGATTGAAACGGCTGGAGAAAAACCCGTCGCGCGCCCGCCGTCTCGGGGGCCATGATCTCGAACATTCAGACTTCAAACAACGGCGGCGGATGATTCCTGATATGTTACATTCCAATAACGGCTTCACTTCCCACCATGAGCTCCGTGAAGCCATGGACCAAAGGAAGGCTGCTGTGAGCTGCACGTCACTGCTTCACTTTCATTTTGACATCGATTAATTACGAATGTTACTTTCTGCCAGACTATGATGTCCTTAACACCCGTTATTTCTATGAACCACTGCTCTGTGCACGCTTGCACTTCAACGATAGCCAAACTCAGGCAAACGGACAGAACTAAATTGACGCATGAATCCTAAAAAATTGTATAGCGCTAAAAAAAATCACGAAAACGGGAGCAGACAACGGAGTGGCGCAAGTCCACCATCTGCTTCTTTTTTTTTCAGTCTTCTTTTTTTAACACTTTGATCTTTTAGTGTTCATGAATAGCCGAATAGCACAACAGCCTATTCCGCCAAAGCGATGCAATTTGTAGTCTAGCCTAGCAATTTCCTGCCATGATTTTTTTACATGCATTCCTCTCAGAACTACGTGTCTTCTGCCCGGTATCAGTTAACACTGCACATGGCGATATGCGACCAGGTTTGATATTATTTCCATCTGTGCACATTTCCCGTCGCTTGTGTAGTGCATGGACAGCGTGCTTGACGTCTCTGCGAAAAAGACAAAGCGACAGAGAAGCTCAGGCATCATGGAGTCACGCGGCTAATAAATGTTTGTTTTGAGCTTTCCCCTTTAACGAGCTGGTGACCCGGACATGGTGTCTGAGCTTCTCCGTCTTTTTTCGCGAACGTCGAACACATTGTCCACTACATTGGTAAGTGGAGCGCTGATTAAAAGAAATGCATATAACTATGTTTACTGTCTCCTGTTATTTCACGCTGTCTATACTCATATCAGAAACTAGCTAACGCAAGCTTTCTGTACCCTATGTTTGTATGCATCAGCAGTGATATCCTTAATTGTTCTATATAGGCAGGATATATCTATTGAACAAAAGTGTTGACGTTTAAAGATAGAAATGTTTTATGGCTCATTTAAAAAGGCACATCCGAGTAGCATAACCTAACCTAATTCGCACGGAATGCACAGGAAAGATTGTTTCTTTGAATCTTGAACCTCGGTGTTATGAACATCCCAAACTCCTATACTTGTACATGTGCAACATCACATTGAGTCGAACTCCGTGTATGTCTTTTTTCGTGTGCGCCCCTCCATTTTTTTTCTTTCTCTCACTTCACAGAAGAGGAATCTATCACGACTACAGTTAGTATGGTCAAGTGCGACGGCGTACACATTTTGAGCTGATGTTATCATAGACAATAACCGATGGAAGTGGAGGAAATGCACGAGCATAATGTAGACGAACAAGTTAACACAGAAAACATGTAAAGTGATGTAAAACAAGGTACGATGACAAAACTAGCAAGTACCAGCCTCGGCTGTTCAGGGCGGTTATAATGTTGAAAGCGTCAATCCGAGTTAGATTCCAATATACAGTTGGCCGGCACTAGAACCGCTAAGCGATGCGCATTCACTTTCGTCCGTTGCATGTGGTATTAATGACAGCATGTTGCCCTCTCTTATTGGTCGATGTGTTTTAAAGTTTGCCATCCTAAGTGTCCCTGAAACTGTTTGCCACTGATGCGAATGCCCACTGGTCCCATGGTGTTGTGGAATACTTCAAGTTGTAGTCCAGTCTATTTCTATGTATCAGGCGCTGATCCTCACGACATGAACGCCACGTCAAGAATGCGGCGCTACGGCACTCGCACTTTCGGCCAGCGACGCAGTGGAGCGAATAATTCGCTTTCTAGCACACAACTAGCGACTTCACTTAGCTAGCTATCCCAGTGGTCGTGTTTATGCCGCCGATTTGCTTAGAGCACTTCTTGTACCTACGGACCACACGCACTACGCGGATCACTCCTCTCGTGCCCACATGTCACGCCGCCAGGGCGGACTCACTGAAGGAGATGGCTGTTACGACTTCTGTGACTGGTTCTCGACTGGCTGGTGGCTTGTACACGGGCTGCGGTTGCGGCGTGGTTCGCGACACCAGTTTGTTAACATCCGTGAAAAACTCGAAGGGAAAACCCCGGTCTCGGCCGTTGCCAATAACGTTTTCTTTGTCGTCTGCGGCTGTGGTTGATGGCGGCGTTGATGTCGTCGTACGCGGTGTACCTGCCGTCGCCATGACTGAGGAACCGATCTTGTTGCTAAAGACGCGCACTACGGTAGCGGGTTGAGGCGTTGAGGTGGACGTCGTCGTGCGCAACCGCTCCCAGCTGAAGGGCGTTGTTGCACTGAGCTTCAGTGTCGCTGTAGTAGTCGATTTAGAGGACGAGTTAGACGACTTGTTCGACAAGGACCACAGCTGCGTAGGTCTTGTGGGATTGGCCAACGTAGGCTTCACTGGCACGGACATAGGAGGCGCAATGGTGGTCCACCCACCGAACCAACTGTACGTGCGATTGTCCTTAACGAGTGGCGGCGACCTGGTTGTGGTGCGCGTCGTGGGCCGGCGTCTACGACTGCTCTTTTTCCTAGGTGGTGGCCGCTTCATGGGGTGCGGTGCGGCAGCTTGTTTGAGCGGCACCAGCGGCGGCAGCCCCGTCTGTCGTGGCGGCAAAGATGGAGATGCGACCGTATGCCGGTGTGCCGTCATTACTGGTGACGCAGTCTGTCTGGACGGCACTATTACAGGGGGCGCCGTCTGTCGGGACGGTGCCATCATCACAGGTGGCGCCGCCTGCCGAGGTGGCGGTCTCGGACGTGGTATCACATGTGGTGGTACGAACATTGACTCCGACAGATACGAAACGCCCAGCTGAGACCACGGTCGCAGTTCAGGGGAGAACGGAGGCAACGGTGCCCGCTGCGGTACGAAATGATCTGGACGTGGCACGGGTCGGCCAAACACGTACCCGTGGGGCCTGTCTTCAGCCTGGAAGGGTGCTGGACTTTTGGCTGGCGGCATTTGTAGAGAATGCCACGAAGGTGGCGCGTCGGGCGGAAAGAATCCCCTGAGCGGGAAGTGAATACTGGGCAGCCAGCCATTGTCTTCTTCCCTGGGAGGCGGAAGGCGCAGCGGCTGCCGCTTGAAGAGCCGAGACAGCAGTAGCTGACGTTTCATACGCGTCGAGCGAGCCCTTCTGCGCGACGACCTGTGGCGGAACTCGAAGTATCCCGAGGGGGTCTTGTAGTAGTTACCTGCCGGCCGCCCCAGAAGCACTTGCGCCATCGGTTGCCAAGGGGGCCTCGGAGGCTCGTAGTTGACTGGGTCCGGCTGGTAATAGAACGGGCGTCCTAGCTCGTTAGGGTCGTACACCACAAACGAATTAGCTCCGGAATCGTCGCCACGAGGTTCTTCGTAGGTGACCGCGCTCTCGTGGGTGCGCAGGTTATGAAAAATCGCTTCCCGATCGAACAGCGGTTCCGTGGGTTGCCAGCCACCTCCGCCTTCTTCTTCCAGGTCTGGTTGTATGGGCTGAGACCAACGCGTTGTCTCGTTGCCGAACCATTGCGTACCGTTGCCTTCGTCATCCAGCCACTCTTCCTCCTCCTCGGCCGGCGGAGCAGCGGTCGTTGTGGTGATGCGCGGCCTGCCGAATACGGCCACGGTAGAGGTCGACGGCGTGCTGCTTGGCGGCGGCGGAGTCGTCGTTGTGGGCGGCCTGGTGACAGGCTTGCGCAGTCGCGGCGGCATGGTTGTGTTAACGTTGTAAAGACTCTCCGAGTGGGGGCACACTTCCAGCGCACGGGCCTCGTAGTCACACATGAGGAGCCGCTGGTTGAAGGTCGACTTCGGAGGGCAAACGAACGAGTAGCGGTCGCCCTGTGCGCCGCAGTAGTGGAAGACGCTGCAGCGAAGCTCGACGTCCGCATAATAACCGGTGTCTCGACCTTGGCAGCTGAACTTGACATCGGGCAGCTGGAGCGGCGACGGCGGCGGCTGCGTTGTAGCGGCGGCTAGCGCCAGCAGAAGCGGCAGACACGCGGCGGTGACGGTCATACTAGTGGCACAAACGGCGCAGCCCAACACGGCCGGTGCAGCCCCGCTCCTGACCCAGATGGCAGGGCCTCAGCCGACGACCGCGACGAGGAAGTAGAGCGAGAAACGGGTCACCGAGAGCGCCCGCCCGCTCTGCTTCTTCCGGAGCATCTTCATCGCCGTGCTCGGCGTCTTCTCCCATGCGTGAAATCGCGGCGGAATTCTCAGGCCACGCGCTCCGTCGCCTCTCCGGGGCTCACTCCGAATTTAGGAGGCTGAAAGGAAAGGCAAATATGGTCCCCCTCTCTTCGTTGCGGATGATCTCCTCACAGTCAAGACGGCGTGCAAACATTCAGTGCATCTCTCTGACCGCGCCACAGAACACCTAACCGCGCTATTTAACCTCCATTTGAGGCTGACACGCATCCGCTTTACCAGCTTATAGCCTTCACGTATACATGTATGCTGAATAGAAATATCCCTTAGTAGCTGCTTGAGCTTTACTTCTGAATATACGTACTCCAAACCAGTAGGTGCATGAATAACCGATTGAGAGAGCATAATGGCAAATTCAAATAAATTTGTGCCCGAAGGGTTTCTCGCATTCCACGTTCACGCGTGTGGTTGCCGACCTTTGTTTCATAATACAGTCATTGTAGGTCGAACATAAAGAAGAGATTATACATCTGATTGCTGAAACTTTGTTGAATTTTATTACAGTTGACCTTCTTCCTCAGAAACAACACTTACGATTTATTCGTAATTTGATTACCATTTATGATATCACCCTTGTCGTGACTTCACACAAGTTGATTGCGTTTACCACATGTTCGAGGTGATTCCACAAGTTCGACTATTATTCTGGCGATTATAGTAATCAGTGGCCTGAGTTCTGAAAATTGTTTGTTGTTGCTAATAAAGCATTGTGGTGTTCTTTTGTGCATACTCGTATCCGAGTGTCTTTTTGCGCAACATCAAAGCTGTTCAAATTATTCACCAAACCCACATTGGGACCTTCATACACTTAACAATAATAATAATAAATTGTTACATAATATGAGACAAGACGTGACTATTTGCAAGTGTACACTGATTAATACGGAGCATAGCACGCACAGCTGGCCTCTTTGTCGTCATCTGTATATCTCACCCACAATGCGATAGCTGCGTAGCATTAACCCCGGCTGTAAAAGCGTCATATCGGTGCACTTTATACCTGATCTTCAGAAGGAGAGCGGTATGGTTTCAACTTACTGACGTGCAGTAGCGAGGGCACAGGCATTAGCTTTCCTCTGTGAAATGACCATCGGCGGTGGTTTAAACAGTGTGTGTACATCTTGCGATACGCAATAAGTAACTTTTTTTTGTATGTGATGCTGCATGTTGGCAACGCGATTTCCCACGCGTTATTTCTGGGGCGGACTTTTTCACAACCTTGGTTGACACTGCAGTTGCGCTGACTTTTGATAGCAATGAGGCACTCCAATCAGAGGTTTTATCGTGCAATCTGCGCGGGCAAGGTAATCATTCTCAAGAAATGTTCACTTGGCTCGATCGAAAATGCACGTAGAACGAGATTATACCTACTCACATAGAAATAGCCTGTTCGCTGCGTATATGCGCTAGAAAACTTAAACACGCGCAAAAACGCATAGTGTTCACGTTTTTTTTTTTTTTTTTTGCAGCTGTCGTCACTCCGCTCTTTGAAACGATAGCGTTGTGGCAAGGTGTACGTCCTCCGTTGTATGCAAGCGTGCAGCCATAATTTTCCTTTAGGCCAACAGGTTCAAAACTCTACAGAATATTTACCACGCAGCATCGACACCCCATGCATACACTGTTCCAACTAGTACGTGCATTCATGTTTGCAGTACTTACGCAGGCGCGAACAGGAGCGGCGTCGTTCCACACAAACTCTTGAATGATCGGTTGACTAGTGATGCAGGAATCAACTCCGGTCTTGTTCAGAACATAGTGCACCATGATCCAATTTCTCAGAACATGTGAACTCCAACGAGAACTGCCAGCGTATGCAACACGAATTTACTTACGTTGTACTATGCACCATGCATGCCTGTCGGTTGTCTGTTTCGGGCAATGTGATGCGAGTCACTGGAATTTGACTGCTGGCATTAACTCCTCCGCGTTCATTCACGTTTGTGGTATGGGATCACAATGCAACAGAAACTACAAGCCTTCCGTAGGGGCGCAATCACAAACGCGAAACGTTTAGCACGCAGTGTAAGATACTGGGCGAGCGCGACCTTACCGGCATCTGAATGGAAGCGGAGCAAATGTACACCCGCGAATCTTTCCACCAGGGGAGAAAACGAGCGCTAGTGTTTAAGGCGGAACTTTACCAGCAGACATGCATCGTCGCTAAAGTTCCTCGCATTCAGTGTCACTGCCCGAACTTTTCTGAGCACGTTGCTTCCCAGCAATGTGAAGTCACCCCCTTGAAATACGCTGCCTGTATGTATTGCTGGGCAATTCCTGTTCTGTGTCAATCAGCGCCCTTCTACGAGACTGGATGGCCACGCCCAAACACCGTAAGGTAACGCTTAATGATTCTTTCTCGAAAGGCGACGCTGCTCCCAGTGCAGACTCGACAACTGGCGAAAAAGCTACAGCAGCCGAATAAACAGTTCCCAGCTGTAGTTCTGGGCTGCCTGAATACGACTCCTGTTTCAAAAGAACTTCTGAAAACCAATCGGTGCATGATGCATGCACGGAAACCGCGATTCCTGACAACGACATTGGTATTTAAGTGTTCAACGAGCCAAGACGCCAGGTGTTGCAGGACGACGAGACGAGACGACGTTGCTAAAGACAACATGGACACCAGGCGATAATTTGAAGTTCTTACCTCACTGGAAAGAAATGTTTTCCTGGCTGCTGGTGTATTCCAAATACCAGGAGGGAGCAAGACGTGTGCTTTTTGGAAAAGAAAGTTCAAGCAAGGGGACTCGCAAAATTCTTGGTGCAAGCTTGGCTTTCTCGCCGTTCACACGTTGTAAGAATGCGCTCGAAAATTTCAGAAGTCATAACGAGTGTGACGACCACAAAACCGCTGCTCTAAACAAGGCGTTTTCTAGAAGCACTCGAAGGCGAATCAGTCGCTGAAAGTATGGAGTCATCAGCGCAAGAATAAAAGAAATTAAACAAAAAAAAAGTCATCTGCATCATAGACACTGACTGTGGGCGACAAGGTGATTATGAGAGATCGTTATGAGAATCACAATATGATTATGAGACACACCTTAGTGGGGCGCACCACCACTTTGGGTCTTTAACGTGCGTCTATATCAAAGTGCATGGGCCTCAAACATTTTTGCTTACATGAAACATACGACAGGGATTCGATTCCGCGACCCGCGGGTCAACAGTGGAGCACCATAACCACTGGTAAAAAAAACAAAAACACCTTTGGGCAAAATCACTATGCGCTAATTTTGTTCTAGCTGTACGGGCGCAAGTTCAACTGATTGAGACATATTGCTGAAAATTACTTTCACAACATGTCAGGGTGATTACGTTATCTCCCGTTGCCTTGCTTTTCGGTGGCACCTTTCACTTGCAGACGTGGTTTGAGGATACGAAAGGTGTGAATGGCAATGCGACAACCCAAGTTTGCATGTAACAGTTCTCGTGAATTTCGGGTAACATATGTGGCATATAATATATGTAAAGCGCAGGATGAACTTCGTGTCAATTTTAAAAAATTCAACAGTATTCTGCTATGTCATGTGTCTGTTTACTGCTTGAAACATTGCTTGCACACAGTTTGTTTCATTTCTATAAGAAATTATTGTTACTGTGTATATTGTTCTTAATTTTACATGATAACATATCCACCCATGTTTCTTCATTCTGTCTTTCTTGTGCATTGTCGCTAGTTGCAGAAACCGCTTGGTGTGCCCTCCTGGTCATGTCAGTGTAAAGGGACAAACAGATGAAGCAAATCAATACATATATTTTAATTTGTTGCATATTTCTTTAGCTCTGTTTCTTATTCTTGCACTGTTTGCCACACTGCTGAACAATAAAAGCTGTGCTCACTATAACTGCCCACACTGTATTTCTCATTATGCTTCTTTAGGTTTATGACCATCTTTTTTATCAGCTGAAGTTACATGATGAGTATTTTAGTAGGCCTTTCTAAGGTTGTGATTGGCCTGCACGTTTGGCTGTGTTGCAAATTCGTCACTAGACAACACCTCTGAGTGCCTTTAGTCGCTAGGGCATAGTAAAGATATGTATCAGTATATTGTAAACTCACATACAAGCGACGTTTGGTGGATGAGCCAAATATCCTGTCTCACGCACCGCGTGTGTTTAGATGTTAGTAGAACGTGCGAAGGTTCAATAGAAATGTTAGTCTTTGGCTTGAGTATATCTTATCACATGTTTGAAAAGCCACACTGTATGTAATAGGCTTTAACGTAGTCTATCAGACCTAAGAACTGTGGCTTTTACCATCGAAACGAACCTCGGCCTAGTGTAAATCATTGTAGCAATCGACTCTGGCGAGATCTCTTCTGGCAGGTACAAGAATTACCACCGCTGCAGCATTATTCCCACCACCGAGCCAACTTAAAATGCTCGCGACTGAGATTCCTGCCCAAAATGTAAGAGTGTCAAATCTTTGACAAACACCACGACATGTTTTTGTGGCAGATATTATTCACTGTAAAAGCACCCAGGAATGATGCTGTAATAGTAGCACCGCTTAGTTTCTAACTCATGTCAGCGCGAATCAACGAAAAAAAGGTGGGGAAGTGGCTGGGGGGGGGGGGGGTAGCGCACAAAATTTCAATGGGGGTTGAACCCCCTCCCCTGGCAACGCCACTGCTGACATGGACCAAGTCACTGGGGGTGTTTGCGGACGGGTTATTCTCGGAGACCAGCACAATTTCATAGGTAATGTTTGTTACCAGTCATACGATACGGTCACGTCCCTTGTAACGAGATCATTCCTCCAACAATCCAACACAAGAACTGGGCACCACAGGAGAACTAGG